ATTGTTATTAACAACATTCCTGTGTGCAGCACTTGCCACAGCAATCTGCTTTGTGCACTTTGTCTGGGCTAATTTTGGAACATAATCACACTCGGAGGAAGGATAGCAAGAAAAAGCATTCCCAGTGCTTCCACTTCTTCTCACACTTAATTAGACGGTCACAATTAGGGAGACTCTAACCTGGGAAACCACTTCAAAAGGTGAAAGTTTTGAGCTGGATGAGGGGACAATTACTGCATCCTCAGCTTGGAGCGTGTTTTCACACCTTGTTCTGTATCCGGGCAAAGCTCTCAGACCTAACTGTGATCTGCCGGGCTAATTAGCCTCATTAAAATCCAACAAATGCAAATGTCCAATTAATTCAGCACTTCTATCTTCGAGACTATTGTAAAAGCAAACTGTGAACAAAAGGAGGTGGAGGTCTTGGACGTGCGGCCTTCAAGGAGCAGAAAGTAGTAGCGGCTGTGTTGTTTTGCTCTCTGCTGCAAACTGGGGTCCAGCTGGCGGTCATCAGAGACAATAGGGATCAAAAGAAGAGACAGGAATTCAGCCTTTTTTCTTTTTTTTGTTGAAAAGATTCTTTCAAATACACCTGCTGCCAGAAATGCCATTAAAATGTCAGCTGTCTGTTCCTGGTTTGACAACACACACATACAGGTTTTTTTCTCTTTCCCTGCCCTCTGTCTAGCCTTAAAACAGCGGTAGAAGGTCAAACAGGGCTTGAGTCGGTCACAGGAAAAGGAAGCTTTTCCTTTAATGACATTCACAGAGGAAATAATGAGGAGCACGGAGGGAAAAGAACGGCTGGCAGACTATTCTTCAGATCGCATTCATGCACTTGCAGCGAGCCTTGTGCATGATGGGACACGACAATATGCTTTGTTTCCGCAGGTCAAACTGAGTTTAATTCCTCTGCGGAAATGGAAGGGGCGTTACATGCTGTCCTCGTGTATCCGTTATTTAGTGAAAACTGGACCCCAGATTGAACTAACTGTCCCACTATTATCTATCAACTTTGAAGTTGTAGGTTGATGTTAAACAGAAACTGGAGCAAATATCTAAACACAACATTATAATTAGTAGAAATGTATCAGTCAGATCAAATAAGAAGAATGAAAAGCAACTTTCACTTTCAACTGCTTTCCAATACTATCTGTGCATGGCAGGCAATGCAAACTATCCATCCATAGAGCTGGAGCCTATCCCAGCTCTAACAGAGTGAAAGGTGAGGCACACACTGCTGATATTCTCCATGTGTATAATTCATTATACCAGCCATGTGCTTTACAAAGTCTCTGACATTTTTCCATGTAGACACAGGTTGACCTTGCACCATCATGTGCTCAGCTGTGATGCTACTCTCCTACACCTGCTGCAGACAGTGCTGAGAGCACTGTAAACATTAGTAACAATCCAGCTATGTTTTTTTTAACACACAATACAGCATCAATTCAAGTTGTTCATCAGTTTCAGCTGCTTTGGTGTTAATGAAGCTAAAAGCAGGTGCACTAGAAGGGAAAACCCCTACCCCTAGAACCCCTAAAACAGCAATGATTTTTACATCTGGAAGCTACTAAAATGTTTTCTCTCCTCATCTTTTCTGACTGTTTTTTTTTCAGTAGTTTTGCATTTGGCTAGTATCAGTGTCACTACTGGTAACCACCTACAGAGGTTGCACAGGTAGTCCAACTGGGATGGTGGATCAATATGTGCCATTGCCTGAAAGTTTGCTGTGTCTCCATGGAAGGGCTGTATAAGACCCTTAACCCATCAGCTGACTGGTATCTGCTTCTTTGTGCAAGGAGGAACATGATGAGAACTGCTAGAGCTACAAAATGACCTCCAGCAGGACGTGGATGTCTCTGACCAAACAATCAGTAGCAGACTTCATGAGGGTGGACTGAGGGCCTCTAGTTGTCCCTACGCTCACTGCCTGGCACTGTGGAGCCCGACTGGGATTCATCATAGAATACCAGAATTGGCAGGACCACCAGTGAAAATGGACTAGCCTGCTGCATGTTTTCACTCTGTTTTTCAGTGTGTTTTGATTCAGCCCTCTGTAGGTTGATCATTTTCATTTCTATCAAACAATGTGGCATCCTTTCATTCCCAGTTTATATCAGAATAGATATTCAGCATGACTTTTTTCCCACTGAGATGTTTCAAAGCGTTCCTTTATTTTATTTTATGTTATTTTCTGAGCAGTGTATTTGTGATAAAACAATGAAGTAGCAGCATGTCCAATATTTCAGTCAGGCCTAACCAGCATTGAAGAACATCATCATCATCATCAACAATGAAATTCAATCAGCCTTTAAAAGGCTGTTAAAAATGTGAAAGGAGAGATTCTACTAAACACACGACTTCAGTGCATCCGTGGAAGATCTGACCATCACGTCTGAGTGACTGTGAGCCCTGCGGCTGCTTAAAGTACAGACGTGACTGTTGGGCCAGCTGGATCTATGTGACAGGTATTAGAGAAGGTTCACTGCACATAGACAGATGTGAGGATACACAGGTTTGAAAAACACAGCATGCAAATAAACTCACAAATACAATTGTGAATTGGTCCTGTATTAGGTACCAACACTGAACAGTTTTTCTAAAACTGTGAAAGTGAAAATGTATTTGCTTTAAAAACACCAGTGCACAAAGAATGAACCAAAACCAGGCCAGTTTTTCAGGGAGGGCTTTCTCAATAAAAAGGTCAGCAATGAAAAGCTTTCTTTTCTGAGGAAAAAATGACATGAGGGGCCTTGGGAATACTGGGAGAAATGTTTGGAATGATCAGAAACCATTTCGATGTCATAGACCGGGGCTGACAAACACATCTGTGGGCTTAGTTATAACCAATACAGACATGTAGAGAGGAAGGAGCACAGAAAAGGAAAGAAGAGAAGAAAAAAAGAATGCAGATCTGTCTGTTCCAGCTCAGCAGTCAAGCCTCTCTGCCTCTCTGTGCTCCCGCTTCCCAAATTGACAATTTCTTCAAAGTGTTATCTGCAAATATGAGAGGCTGTTTTTATAAAGGGCTGACGAGAGAGCGCTCTGGACAAGAAAACAGGTATTGACACACAAGTATACAGAGCATTCCAGCAACTGTCTGAGCAAGTGACTCGTGGAAAGAATTGGTTTTTCAGAAGAAGAAAAAAAGGAAAGCAGACAAATAGAAAGAGGCCACATGGACACTGTGTGTAACAGGATCTCGGGAAGAGGGATCTTTTTTTTTTTTTCAATCTGTCCCACAGAAAAGGTAGGACATTTAATTTCTTAATAAAGAGCAGCTGAAGTAATCAGATCTCGCACACGGGCACGCTCAGAGAAACTGAAGCCACACAGAGCTGGAAAAGAGAAGCTGTTCCTCCCTCTAGTGGTTCAGCTTTTGCATAGTTTGTTCTAAAACATAAAGTGAGCTTATTACATGGGTGAGACAACGAAAACCACTTCATTGTCCTTTTGGACTAAATTTCATCTGCAGGTAAAAGTCTCTTAGCTGTTCACAAATTTAGAACTAAACCTAATGGGGGAGCTCAGAGTTGCTGCCTCTGAAACATGCTGCCTGCTGAACTAAAAGCCATCTCAACTGAGGCCCTTTTCAAACACAAACCGCATTTGAATATATATATATATATATATATATATATATATATAAATATATATATATCTATACATATATATATATATACATAGATATATTCACAGATGGTGATTTCTGCAAGTGTTCCTGAGCCCATGCAGGGATTTCTGTGATAATGCTGCCTGAGGGCCTGAAGATCACAGTAACTGATACTGATCTTTGGCCTTGTTCCTTGCACACAGAGATTTCTCCAAGTCTTTGGACTCTTTGATATTATGCACTGTAGTTGATGAGATATTCAAAGCCTTCACTCTACACTGAGGATCATTATTCGGAATTCTTCTTTAATAAAGCATACGAGTTTATTTACATTCTAATAAACTGAATAAAAATTGCAGTTCTTATTTTTATTATTCGAGAAGTCTGAAAAAGGTCATGCTCAGTGGAGCTTTTACTGGAGTGCACTTTTCTCGCTGCGTCTCACTCCTTAAGACATCTTCTATTTATGGGCTTCTTTATCCAATATTGAAGATACTACAAGACCTCAGTGTGCTCCCTTATCCCACAGAATAAGAATAGAAACGGGTAGAAAAATAAAGCTGACGGTAATCGTTGCGACTTGGGGACTATACTTTTGGTTAGCAGGTTGCTTATTCTTTGTTCTCTTTGGCTTCAAGCTTAATCCAGGAGGCTTCTCGGTCTCCTGCATGAATTATCTGCAATGACAGTTCCATAACACACTTCTGGGTCATTTTAATAAACGTGTTGTTCCACTGTTTATATAGCAAGACTGTGTCGCTGTCCTTGGTACTGAACTTAAACACACTCGTGACAGAAACTCTTTGATGCCTGTGATTGGGCAATACCGTCACCTCTCGTCCTCCGATTGGTGGAAACGTTAACTGTGCTTACTATATGTGGAAACAAAAACCTTTATGTTTTAGTCAGTTATGTAAGCACTTTTTTATGCACACCTGTTGTCAGTAGCTATAATAGGTAAAACTATGGTTAGCCACTTTATTAGTTATACACCTGAGAAAAATGGCAATGCATCACAACACAATCACATAAACCCAAAATTAATTTTAAAAAAAAAATCAAAGGGTTTTTAGGGCTGGTCATGTCTTATTTGATGAAACAGAGCTCTGCAGTGATTTGGCTTCAAAGAGAAAAGCTGGTCTGGTGTTAGTACAACATGGCCTTTAAAATATTATTTTCTATACTTTAGAGAAGATTTTCCCAGGTAAAATGAAGGCGAGGCCTAGAGTAAGTAAGAAGGATGCCTAATCAGGCGAAGCATATTCTTCTGGAATGTTTACCTAGACAAGGTCGATCGTTTTTGACTCATCCCCAGAAGGTGGCAGCAAGTTCAAACAAATCCAGCCCAGACGCAAAGCTGCATAGCACCACGTCCACCAAAGTAGAAAGCCACCACACATTGATATAAAAGCAAATTTATTAAAGAAAAAGCGGGACAGTTTGTATCCCTTTTTTGTTTTTTTTTTTAACTATACATTATGTGCTATACAACATAGACAGAAACATACAGCCCATAACCGCTGACCAGGTTCAGCTTTAGAGTGATACTTCATCTTTTTATGTCTATTTGAAGGAATTCATTGTCCCAAAGCATTTAAGTGGTCTTCAGACCATAAGCAGCACCCATGTGTTTCACTGAAAATAAAAAAAAACAAACAAACCACACATCGAAAATCAAACTTGACTATCGCACACGTTCACACAGAGGGGCCAGGGCTTCTCAGAGGCTGTCACAAATACTGACAGTTTACCAAAATTGGAGTATAAATCAGCAGAAGTACATATTTTCCCTGTGAAATATTTTTCAGTCAGCAACACTGCTTCAAAACACAACTTAATATAAAACAAACAAACAAACAACACAACCAAAAAACCCACTACTAACAGATGTTAAAGTACTTATTATTTGAATGTATAATTAAACGCTAATGAGGGCGGGGCTAATAAGGGATTTGACAGTGACTGTAATTTGGGCCGTTAGTGAGCCTTTATCTGCAAATGTCAAAACTTTCACCTCACTGCACAAATCTGACTGATAATTCACCGCTTTGGACTTAAATGTTTTTTCAAAGCTTTTCCTCCTTATTAACAAAAACTCAAAGGTTATGAACACGAGGAGGACTTTCTAAGATTTGAAAACTAATAACTGACACATTTCCAGCCTGAATCAATGCTACAATACTTTTTCTCATATGAGGCACACCTCACTTTAATAGACTATTAAACAGAACTCTTATCTTTATAAAATCAGAAATGCCTCAGAAAATAAAACAGACCAAGCTGACATTTATAAACAAATTATTATTTACACTCTCTTCTTAAAGAAACTCAGAAATCAGAGCGTTTTATATTTCCTGTGGTTTTCTCAGTGAGGAGGAGTGAGGTTGTTGTGGTTGCTGCGAAGATTGTGTTCCTTAAGATGATGCATCTCTTTCGTACGGACACAAAAACACAAAACTAAGGAGAGAAATAAAGTGAAACCCACACTTGCATATGATCTAAATCAACCCTTAACAGTCTTTCCATCGGCTGATACTCAGGTAATCTGATTATTTACAGAAGAAACCGGGTAAAATGAAACTAATGTTGATCCTTAATAAATAAAGTAGTCTGTATGAACACATTCTGCCTGCAAGTGCAACAGTCTGTGTGTGATGTGTGGTCAAGCTGACACTTTAAAAAAACAAAACAAAAAAGAAACACCCTGCACTGTAAGTAGGAGAGATTGGAACACTAGGGTTAGGCCGATAAACGGGTGTGCCAACTCTGATCACACTTCTTTAATATTCGATTCGCCTGTCAGTTTTAATGCTCCGACGCCTGCAGAAACACTCTTGTTGAGAAGCAAAGAGCACAAAACTGACAGTGTTATGAATATCGGCTGTATCGGCTGAACCGTAGTGAGAGCTCGGAGAGCAACAGGTGTCGCTGTGTACAGATGCAGAAACAGGTACAGACATTTTTGCATAAACACTATGTACATACATTATGTGTGTTGGGACTAGATTTGGGAACCCTGCCAAGAGGAACAAAGGTTTGTTGTTGTTTTCTCATGAGTAAGGCATGCCATGGAAGGTGGCCCGCTGTGACCCGGTGTGGTGGGGAGCTCAGTCGGACAGCAGCGTTCGTTACCTCCTCCTCCAGTTTTCCCAAAGTTCATTTTAGAATTTGAAGAATTCTCACTGGAATTCGAGCGCTGGACTTGCTTCCTTTTTTGATCCCGCTCAGCTGATTTCATTGAAGCCGTCTGCTTTGATGTCATTACTTGGCAACTGCCGCTGGTCCAGCAATCCCAGAATGCTTTTTGCGTTTCCTGGATCGCTCCTCCAAGGCATGACATCATCACCTCGACATGAAGCGCCTGAAGTCAGCTGTTCAGCCCGTGTCAGTGATGTCATACCCTGCACTCCAATGTGGGAAGCATCCAATGCTGCTGTTGCAGGATCAGATATTTGACAGTCGTCGCCCTCTGGTGGCACCAATTGAGGCGCGCAGCCTTGGCTCTCTGGCCCTGAAGAGGAAAGGAGTTGATTTTACACACACACACACACACACACACACACACACACACACACACACACACACACACACACACACACACACACACACACACAAACCCCCCAGATGATCTAATATTTTCTCTGTAAACTATAGATATGCTAGCAGTGATATCATGAAAGAAACCATTTCCCTTAGCAAATAAATAAATCACTGTTAGAAAAAAAGAAATATAAAATGACCATCAATTGCACTCTTAAGCTCCACGCAAGATCTCGCCTCCTGAACTGAGGGTGATCATGAGAAAGGTGGTGGATCAAGCATAAACTACATGACAGGAGCCTGTTAGTGATCTGAAGGCAGGTGAGCCAACACTCAGCAAGAACACCACTGGTAACCCACCATGTGGTAATTTCAATGGAACGCTCAAGGTCCTCCCTGATCATAAAGGCACATGCACAGGCCCGTCTTAAGTTTGCCAGTGAACATCCAAAGGATTCAGAAAAGGTTTGAGAGAAAATTCTGTGGTCAGATGACACCAAAATAGACCTCTGATGCATGAACTCGACCGACTGTGTTTGGAGGAAGAGAAATGCTGAGTGTAACCCAAAGAACACCATCCCCACAGTCAACCACGGAGGTGGAAATATTATGCTGTGGGGCTGTTTTTCTGCTAAGGGTAAGAAGAACCCAATGAACCTCTGTACCAACTACACTGGTAGTTGACATTCAAATCAATGTATAACTTTAATGTAATGTGAGTAATGCCTCTACATTAAAATGAAACTACCATAAAAAGTAGAGATTGTTCACATCTTTGAAAAAAGATTATTATTATTGTTATTTCCAGATTATTTCCCCCACTGGCTACATACTGTGGATGCAGCCTCAGACGCATTAGGCCGATTAGGTCATATCCTGACATGCGATTCATATCCACTGAGACCTGGCTACTGTAAGTCACATCAGTTATTTCCATTTAGAGTCCATCTGCACACTCAAAATGCTAAAGCCTCGAACAAATTAACCACTTCTCGGAAAATGCAGGAGTCATCAAATATTTGCAACATCACATGATGCATGATTTTCTGCATTTTTATGCAAGAACAATGCGCATAATTTTAGATTACAGTCACAGATTTAAGTAAAATTTATAAATGGACCTACTAAGTATTAGAACGGTAATAATTACAGTTTCAAAGGACACCAACTTAATGGAATAAACTTTGATATAGGTCATTTTGGTTTTGGAGTCTTTAAAGTCAAACCTGTAGTGCTCATTGAAGTCCAGTCTGAAGCTGAGGAAGCGCAGGCTCTCATCGGAACTGGTCATCAGCAACACCAGGAACTGTTGGACGATGCTCTGAGAGGGAGAGATGAAGGGAAGGAAAAAAGTGAAATGAATTGCAATGGCTGATTCCACTGAATACAGTTCATGACGAGCAGCAGCTTTAGGTGGTGGCTCGAGCTGGTACCTGATAGAAGTGTGTTAGGATCCGGAGCTGTGAGCGCATCTTTGGTATGGTTTCCTGGAACTCTTGAATCCTCTTCTTTTCCTCTGCTTCCTGCTCGGCCGTCACTCCCCACTGACCCTGAAAGACGACGCAAGAAACAGATGACATAGCATCACTCACTATGCATCCATCTCCAGCCAAAACAACAAATATACCTCTCTTCCCTTTCATTACTTACCTCCTCCTCTCTCTGCCGCCTCTTCTCCTCATACTGCAACCTGAGGCTGAGTTCCTCCAGCGCTGAGCGGTAGAGGGAGTCCTGGGCGCTTTGAAATTCAATGATTTGGTCAAATATGGCCCTCAGCTGGTTCAAAAGAGACTGGAGATACAATAACAGAGTTTCATTAGGGGTATGCAAAACAGGGAAACAGAGGAATGACTAACAGAACACAGAAATCTTGTGTGTTTGTGTGTTACCCTGCTGTTATTGTCCAGCAGGCATCTTGAAATAATGGTGTCTAGGAAGACGTCGTGGGCAGCGATTATGTGGTCGAGGTCCTGAGCCTGACGCACTTTGCTCCACAGCTCGTCCCAGGAGCACTCCAACACCTGCGCACACATCACAGTTTACTACTGTAACTGATACGGTTTACTGAGGTTTTACAGCCTGCGATAGTAACAGCGCTGCTGCTAATGGACCTGACCTCAAAGGTGATGTAGTACTGCATTTGGTGGATGAAGTGGACCATCTCGGAGGCCAGGATGTGACACTGATGCAGCACGCCGGACAACTCTGCAGGGTAAAGAGCACAAGGGCGGGTCATGTTATACAACAGGAAGTAGGCATGCTATCAAAATATAAATATATTTTGCCATAATGCTGCAAAAGATTACGTACAAAAAACCTGAAAGAAGGATGAGAGTTAATTTCAAGTGAGTTCTCCACTAAGTATGTGTGTGCGTTTAAGTACCAGGCATGGTTTTTAGTAACTTGGCGTTACACATCTGTCCCTTCCAGATGTCAGTCAGCGTGTACTCCATCCTCTTGGCCCTCCACAGGAAATTGAACACCCGCAGGTAGTGGCCCATGCACTCCCTCGTAAACACCTGACAATATACACACAGACAAATGGTAATACTCACATCTTCAAGCTTCCACATGCAAAAAAATAAAATAAACAGAACATGTAGGAGGCTGTGTGTAGTCACCGTTGAAATCGGTCCATCAACATGGTAGTCCAGACTGAAAACATCCCAACCTGTATCACCAGGAGACACCTGGAGGCCACACAAGATGAGCCATAGTGAGAAAAAGGATCATTCTTCATTATTAATTCAATTACTTCCTAACAAGCAGGTGATGATGCTACCTCTAGCAGGCGTACGTCCAGCCTCTTGAGGATCTCAGCGTTATCATACTGAGCGTTGGTGGCCCTGACTGCCGTCTCCAAGATACCAGTCAGATTGTGTTGGTATAAAGTGGTGGCAGGACGGGCCAGCTCTGGTCTGCGATTAAAACATGTAGCATATGAGAAAATTAGGACTTGCAGCTTGATCATCAGTGTTATAGATCAGGAAGGAAAACCATACTTCAGTAGGTCCATAAGGTGTCTGATGAAGTCTCCCTGGCCCAGCAGCAGGTATCTCCTCATGGCCTGCAGGTGCTCCAGCAACAGGTAGTTACGGTTGAGGACATCCAGCAGGTACTTGCTGGTGTCGAAGTAGGCTGCGTCGATCTTCTCCTGGAACGCTCCCTCCAGGTCAGACAGCAGCTCTGCGGCTACGTGAGCAAGAAGGTATCAAATGGAGTTTCTCTGCTGGCTACATTTTACACATTAATGAATGGCGGTCTTTTATATAAGATGAAAAAAATTTATGAAACATTTTTAAAAGAATTTTTTTATATTAGAGTTCAAAACTGCTGATTCATGGACAAATATTAATATGGATTAAAAAAAATGTACCTTATTTATCAAATTATTACAATTATTTATTCCTAAGCGTTTAGATTTTTGCTGTAATTTTGGACTAACCCTCCTATTTTCCTTTGGATTCAGGGTCAACCAAGTCTTTGAACTGTTCTACTAGACAATAAGAGAGAAAGAGAACGTCCTTCAGCTCATATTCTAAAAGCCACAGATCAAACTGGTTAGATGAAGTCCTACAGACAGAATCAATAGACTACAGCTGAGTATACCCAGTTCTTCTCTCCAGTCAAAAGGAGAGAAGGACAAGGCCCAAGAGCATCGACCAGTGTTCACTAAAAACAACAAACGTCAATACAGTGTAATGAAATCAATACGATGAAGACAGAACACACATATACACAAAAGGAGGCTCCAAGTTGGTTATGAGCGTATTTCATGAAAACACTAAAATTAAACCAACACAGCACTCTGAAAAAGCCAGCAAACCTCTATTCACAACTTCACCATACTGGTTTTTCTTCTTAATGTCCCATTATGGGCTGTCAGAAACAAAACAAATGGAAGTATTATCTATGAATTTGCTTTCCTGAGACGCTTACCATCTTTTGGAGTGTCTGCAGATTTCGACGCTGCCGTGATTTTGCCTGGCGGCGTTCTATCGTGGCAAACCTGATGCAGGAAGTTGATGGATTTGCCGATCAGCAGAACCTAAAGGGATAAGAGAAAGGGAGGAGATAGCAGCTCCTTTTCAGTCATTTCACAGTCTCGTCTACAAAAGCATGCTCTCTGGCATCCAGTGAAGACATCTGTGATGGCACGCGTACCTTGCGTGCCTGGTCCATGGTGATGAACGAAGGGATCATCGACTTCCTGAGGGAGTACTTGTCGTGCCACAGACGATCGGTCTTCACGTTGGGATCTGATGCTACAAAGAACTATGAACACACACATAGAAAAACACACACTTAACAGTTTTATTTTGCCTGCTGGGTTTAATATCCGGTGTAACAATCAGATAGGCGCTGGTACGCATGTTGACTTTGAAGGTATATTGACATACGCTACCCCACATTCCCAGTGATATTGATATAGCCTGAGGTTGCGTTACATAATCGTTTCTTTTAATTTCTCTATAGCCAGCACAGTGGTTGCATTTGACATTTTTTCCCATTACAACTAGCCCTCACTGTCCTCCATCAGCAAACAAGCCCTTTCCCATTCCCTCAGAAGTTCTACTAGATGTTGCCGACTTAGTCACCTAATATTGAGACACCTTCATCCACAAAACAAGCAACTTTTTAGACAAACTTCAGCTGCTTTTAGTTGAAGACCAGTACAGCCATATGAGCACAGTTTTCCCTGCATCTACTCCTTTCACTGAGTAGCAGCAGCACACTTAGCTGACTGCATGGCAGCTGATATGCACATGAACGACCAGTGGATGTGAACTAACTGTACTTATCCAGACAGGAAGAGGCGCTTGGCTGAACAGAGTCTAATGTAACATTTGTCACTGAACAAGTAAGTCTATAGTCAGTGTCCAGACCGTTGTAGAGGTTTCCATCCTTTGTCACATTCACTTAAATTATCCATTTACTTCAGTGTCAGTACAGCAGCCTCAACTGGCCGTCTAATGAGGGCGCTGAAGGCTGTGTACAAGGATACATTTTAAAAACTGATATCAACTGTCAGGCTCACTTTAAATTCATCGTTATGAAGCTGTGTGTGGCTGAAATAAGACTTTCACAAGCAGTGTCACTATGAAAACCACAAGGATGACATTTAAATGCCTGATCTACACGCAGAAGCAAACAGCCTTTTTGAATTCTAAAGCCTTAAGTTGGATTAAGTGTTTTTTAAGTAATTATTAAGTTATGAAGGTTTAAAAATGCTGCAAAAAATTGTATTAAAAAAAAGTGCCAAATTTTGATCTACCTGTTTGTGTGCATGCATTGGTAAGCTATGTGATGCTAATGATGTGTAGCTCCATGTCAGCTACACCAACTACACATTTACTTCATACCATGCTTGGTTAGTTAAGTTGATTCTTGATCGTTTGTTGTTTAATGACTCGTACTTGCCTGAAATAATGAAAAATGTCCTACTACGCTCCAACTTCAAAGTGACAAGTTTTCAGTGGTAATAAAAATGATATGTATTGTTCTGAAAACACAATGTGGCTGATGCAATAAAGTTGGGCCTAATTCTAGTTTGATTATTAATAACTGCACACTGTCAAATGTGCGCAGTTAAAAGGAGAAAACAGTGCGAATAAGCATTTACTGGCTCATTGCCTGAGAGTTCTGCAATGTTACAACCTACAGTGCCTTATTTATTTAAGCCTTTCAGCCATAATTACAGCTGTTGTTTAGAGTGCGTTTTCACAGGCTGTGTGAGATCTCCTGGGTAATTTCACTCCTGAAAGCTCCAGTAATTTCTAACTCTGTGTTCTTAAACACAGCACTTAAAACCAAAAGTCCAAGCGCTCGGTAATGGTCCGCGCTGGACACATAAATACTGTGTGCGCAAGAGCAATAGAAAGAGAGAAAGGGCGGGGAGAAATAAAGGAGACACATTCATCACTGTGGTCTCCATTACACTCCTCTCATCAGTTCTCATTTAAGGGGCCGTCCTGGCTCTCCTCTCTCTGTAATGTTCCCTCTCATTGGGGTCAAACATCAGAGCAGTCAGAGAGAACATGCGCTGTAATTCTCAGATTCTCTGTAAAGACATTCATCTTTCTCATTGAATTTTGATGCACTGCTCTGCATTTATTTTGATTACAAGAGGTTTTTATTACTGCGCAGAAAAGATCAGAGAGGCATGTGTACCTCGTGGTAGGTGTCTTCTAATTCCCCGTCGTATATCCACCTGTAGAGGAAGTTGAGAATGGGGTGTGACACCAGGCTGAGGATGTGTTGAACAAGCGCTCTCATCTGTGGGTCTCCCGTTTTCCCGTAGGCATGAACTGCTGAAGCCAGCTCGCCACCCTTACGACCTAATGACACACAATGCGGGGACACTTAGAATGCTATATTCAGTTTAGCATGTTCACCCACCTACATTAAAACCAACAAGCACACGTCCACACACCCTGGCAGAAGTCGACGAGGGCGGCGAGCGTTTTGAGCCTGACTTTAGGGTCGTACATCCAGACCAGCAGCCTCCTGAGGGTCAGACTGCTCTCTGTGCACACGGTCACACCCTGGTCATCCTCCACCTGCAGCTACAGCACAGAGAAATTACCTTAGATCAAGCGTCTGCTGATTTTTCCATTACACATTTCCTCATTGTCAGCACTAATTTTGTTTACCTGCGAGTGGAGGACAGAGAGCAGCCTGTAGTACTCCTTAAGCTCCTGGTGGAGTGAGGCACAGAAGCTCTGAGTGGAGAGGAGAGGTCGTGGGTGGAGAAACACAGAAACAGAAAGGTAAGCATTAGTTGAGGACTGTGTGATAAAACTGACGTGAACAATTAATTCACATGGCAAATGTGCACACGCACTCACATACCTGTCCAACCAATCCAAAGGCCCGGTCGAGGCTTCTGGCATCAGTGTACTTCCTGACTTTGTTGTGGAGCCAGCCAAGTTCAGCCAGTCTGCTGCTGGTGTCCCTGAGGGACTTGCACAGCACCACCTAGTGAGTCAGAGCACACATTACAACACATATAACAACATCTGCTTGTTTATTCTTCCACCAAGACCAGAGCGGAGGCAAAGCTATGTCCATTTGCTAATTTATCAGCAGGACTTGGCAAAAACTCACGAGCTGTATTTCATTAAACTTGGTAGAAAAGTGGGCAAAAGTAGAACCCATTAAATTTTAGTGCAAATTCTGAGATGCAGCACTGGCTTTGGAAGACGACTGCATTATCATATTGTTCTTCTAGTTAAGCGTATGACAAAAAGGGCCAGCGTGATTTTTAATGCCATGTAGTAACTATTATGCATGCCATGATTTGACCCTGACAGTGATCCAAATACTGGAATATTTACTCTCAGCTTATTTTTAAACTATAGTATTAGTTTAATATTAGGCCTATGGAAAGGAATCTCTAGCACAGAGTTTATAGACATAATCAAGGTATAATAAAAATCTTAATCAGCCACTTTCATTAAATCGCTCACTATAATTTACGCAACACATCTATGACTAACAAGGCCGTCTTGCAGCAGACGACCTTGTTTCCGGGCTGAAAAGTTCGCATTAAATTTTCATCTGCTTAACAAAAACCTTTTATCACTGGAGCCTTACAGAGAGCTTAAGTGGCCAAAGCAGCCTCCAAAATATCTCCATCCTTGACTAATATATCTGTGCTCTCAGTGGCTCCGTCTCCATCAGGTGGACGGTGTCGGCAGATCGAACACAAGTCTAAGTTTAGCGTCACGGAGTGAGAATATGGGACAAGTTCCATCTATGGCCTTCCCATCGATAATGTGGCAAAAAGGGGAGGAGAGGGGGAATTAAATAAACTGACAGGACAGACAAAAAAAAATAGGAAAGAGAAAGTGGGAGAAGATCGATGTGACTCAGAGCCAAAAAGCTTTATATTGATCTGTTGAATCTTGGTTCTAAAGTTCAGTCAACAAAAACAGTCTTGATTTCATATCATCTATTATGCCTAATAAAGAAAAGTGATCTTTGAGCAGCTGGAGCTCCAGGACTTGGATCCGCTGCAAGTCACTGTGGGATGGTGATGATTATTACTCTATGAAATGTGTGTACCCTGCTGAGCTGATTGGTCTATTAAGAGCTTTTACAAAGCTAGACGCCAGTTTGGGTACCTTGCTGTCTATTTTGTAGCAGTTATCCTGCGCGCTCATCTTGATGAACTTGCCGTCAATTCCCTGGAAGACGTAAAGGATGTCCCGCACCAGCGCCGCCTCGTTCACCTCACCTGCGCACGCAGAATGTGGAGGATTATATTGTGTTAGAGGGGAAGTGAGAAATGAAAATGAAACTTTAAGATCTCATGGTACATGGATTTCTCAGATAAACTCAAATGTACAACAGGACAGACTGAATGAATAATGCAACACATGACACAACAATGGGAGACACAAGGGGACGTCTGGCTATGAGTGATAAATTGAGAGAGATCTGCTCAGAGCCTGCTCCAGGATACTTCCTCTGAATGCAACATGTTATGTATTTAGAATGTATGGAGGTCAAAAAGAGTTAACTTTTGTTATTAAATGGTAAATGGCCTGTATTTGTATAGCGCTTTTACTAGTCCCCCATAGGGACCCCAAAGCGCTTTACACACCCAGTCATCCACCCATTCACGCACACATTCACACACTGGTGGAGGCAAGCTACAGTTGTAGCCACAGCTGCCCTGGGGCAGACTGACATTCAGTGCATAGTAAATGCACTGAATGTCATGGAGGGTTTTATTTTTTTGGCATGGTCGTGCAGACCTGAAACCCACACTGTATACATGTCACTCACCGGCTGGGTCACCATCTCGGCGAGGACGCACTACTCTGGCAGCGGGGACCGGAGGCCCGAGGGGTGGCCGAGCGGCGGGCGGAACCATAGCGGAGCTGGGCGAGGAGCTTACAGGCAAAGTCCAGGCTAACCGTGAACCCAGAGGCTGACCGCCTCCAGCTGCAGGCTGAGGTGGCTGGCTGAAACACAACAGCACATTTACTTTAGTTATGGCTGAGCCGTTCTGGATTTTTGTATATACATTTACTATGCACTGAATGTCATAATAATTAGGGATGACGCCATGTTCATGTTTACAAAAGACTGATACTCTTTTCAATGAAACAGTTATACTGTTCTGATCGAGTGGCGCCTTCTAGGGCTGAAAAACTAAACCAGCATGGGCCACTGTAGTTCCTTTAGTGGCCACTTAAGGCTCACATTTGCCAAACTATTCCTCAAAGCCTCGTTAAACATGTTAAAACAACCAACTTAACAGCATCAAAACCCTTCTTCCAAAAACATTTTCAGTCTAACCAGTCATTAAGAAGGGTGTGGTTAGCTTAAAGTCTAGGGCGTTTCATCTGTTTTTGCTGACAGTTTTGGAACCACAGCCAGCTGTAAGCAGCTGCTGTCTGCTGGACCTCACCTTAGATAAGTGGAGTGACTGAACTGAAGCTCTTAACTGTGCTGTTGGTGCCTTTTAAAGAATTTTAAATGCAATTAACTGACCAAAATGTTTGTGCTTCAGTTTTGATGAGTGAAATTAAATTATTAGTCCATTACTAATTAGCAGGTCCTTGTGTCTATACGCTGGTTACAGCTCCCTAACTAAGCTTCCTAGTGTTAGCTATTAAATTACACTGATTCTAAAAAACACAACGTGGCAACAGCCAGGATGCAAATATTGACAAAATAAGAGGTCATGCGAGTGAATACAGGATTGCCTTAGATGGATGTACTGTGTTGAAGTGGTTAGCACTGCAGAGTAAGAAGGTCTTGGGTTCAAATCCACTGGCCATCTGGGCCCTCTGTGCAACCTCAAGCTGGTGTCGCCGCAACCGCAGCACGTGTGTGCAATCGGTCAGTTTTTTATGCAATCGTAATCTGCCAGACTCACAGATTATATAAAGGGAGATGTTGAAACGTTATAAACAGTATAAAGTGCGTATAAATGGTATGGAGCTCACTGTTTGCATAACGCATAAATGGGACCTCAGCCCTGCAATATACTGGTGACATGTCTAGGCTGTACTCTGCCTCTCATCCAATCACAACCGGGACAGTGTCCCACCTTCCCCAAGACCCTGAATTGGATGTGGAAGAAAATGGATGATGTGGCTGACAATCACAGCAAAGAACAGAAATCTCACAATCAAGATTTGAGTTCAAATTTGGAATTTCTTTGGGAATTCAGCAGTTACTTTTTGATCCCTTGGAAAGTACTGGAACAGTCATTAAATAAAGCAATCCCAGCACACATCTTTGTACTGTTACTTAATTATCACTGTGTGTTGTCCAGAGCCATGGGAAAACTTGATGTTTTCAAGAGGATAAATTGCCTTTTAAAGACGCAAAGGTGAACCCAGACAGCCCAATGATCATTGTTTACTAAAGGCCCACTGCATTATTAATAAGAAAAAAAATGGGACTAAATGGCCGTTAAACTGTGTTATAAGGGGTCAAGCTGAGAGGAAAGAGGCAAGTTCACTTTCTGCTACTAAATGATACCTCTTGTATCTGACATAGGGCTTCTCACACAAACACATCAGAAAAACAACCCTTCACTGCAGAGCTTTTCGGGGCTGCCTAAAACCTCTGGTACGTGGCTTTGACATGGAAAGCTGAAGTTTTAACAAGCTGATATGAAGATGCTCACCCTGCAAGCAGTGGCTGTGGTGTTGGTGTAGGTCCGTTCAGTGTGTAAACTCCTAGACTTGAAATCCCACTGGTCCCGACACTAGCTGACAGGCCGGTGCTCCTCTCCCCATAGCTCAGGGCCAGGCTCTGCGGACGGGTGCAATAGAATGGGGTGGAGTGGGCATCCCTGGGGAGGGCTTGGGCAAACAGTGCCCCGTAGTTTCCAACCTAGGAAGTACAATCAGACATTGAAGGTCTCCAGAATCAAGTATCAGTGCATATACACACGTAATCACTATGATCCAAAAGCTCGAGCTTTTAAACATTCAGTTTAATTTTCTTTCTACTCTTGGCTTTGTATGATATCACAGAGAGGGGATATCCTTATATATTCATCATGGCTCATAAGTTGCTATAAGCACTGAAGCTTCCACCATCTGCAGTTCAGATCATCTGTTTGTAAAGAGGTAGCCAGTCTGATGAAACCTCACCTGGGGTGTTGACCCAAGGCAAATGTAAGATATATAAGAATGACTTTTAACTCTGATTCATGTAAAGCTACTCTAATCTAAAAGATTTTGTGTGTGTGTGTGTGTGTGTGTGTGTGTGTGTGTGTGTGTGTGTGTGTGTGTGTGTGTGTGTGTGTGTGTTCGTTCCCCACCCTGCTGGATGGTTTGCGGGGGTCTTCAGAAAGGCTAAGCAACAAGTAGAGAACTGACCAGCGATGCTTTAGAACACCCTGCAAACAGGAAAACAACATTAAAAAAATACCACCTTCAAATCAGTTCAATTCGATCTCATTTACATAGCGCCCAATCACAACAACTGTCACCTCGAAGCGTTTTAAGGTAAAGACCCAAAATCAATACAGAGAAAACCCCAACATTAGACAACCCCTTATGGCCAAGCACTAGGTGAAAGTGGGAAGGAAAAACTCCCTTCTAACAGGAAGAAACCTCCAGCAGAACCAACCTCAGGGAGGGGCGACCATCTGCCATGATTGAGCAGGGGTGAGGAGAGTGAGACAGGACAAAAAGCACCCTTTGGAAGACTCTTTCATTTAATAAACAAAACAGTATTATTATCTGGAGGGGTGACTGTGGCGACTAGTGAGACTTATTAATAAACAAATAAATTAATATACAATTAATGACCAGTACTGTGTTATCAGCCCTTCAGAGGCTTACTCTGAACCAAATTAAACAGGTCTCTGTTTTATGCAAGCAGGCTGTATCATGCGTCAAGTGGGAAATTGTTCCATTAAAGCTTTAATACCTCTGTGGGTAATAATACCTTTCAGAGAGAAATCCAAATACCAACCTGTGTCTGAAGTTTCCTGTGCAGCTCCGAGAACAGAGCTGCATCCGCTTCTCTCCGCTGCTTCAGCACTGCAAGAGCATTAAGACCGACTGTGTTAGGTGGCGTTTCTCCTCCATGAATGGCTCATTTAACAGATGAACAAAGCTGGAAATGGTTCTGTGCCAAACAGGTTTTTAAATAACAAAAAGAAACTCTCCACAAATGGGATATTGTTAAAACTGCAGACCGAGACAAAGAAAAGTAGGAAATGTATTGTGGAGGTTCAAAGAGAAAGCCAGCAGACTGCAGCGCCCTTCTGAAAGCCCAAAGTTGCTCATCAAGATAAAGCATGCTGTGTTTGTATTTATAACTGCCCTCATATTGACAACCAACCCTCCAGCTCTGGTACACCCTGTCACTGCTGGCATTTAGAGCTGCAAGACAAATGCTATTTCTTTAGCAGTCACTGGAATACATTATTTCATATGCTCAAACTCACTCAAAATTAATTTCATTTAAATGTCTGACTGTTTCACATCATTAACCAATATAAAATATCCAGTTATCACTTTTGTGGCAATGTTGCAATTAAAATACACAAAGACTAAGCAAAAACTTCTCATAAGTCCACCTGGGATAAATAAATGCTGTACAGTAAGTGCTGTGCTATTTTGGTTTCACAGTCTGCCGCAAAGCTTGGATCAATGTTTTCCCACTAATGGTGTGACCTTGCTTCCATTTAATTCAAATAGGATTCTGTAGTATGGTGGAATAAAGATTTTCCAGCACATGTATTAAAGCTGGCATTCTGACATAAGGGGATCAGATGTCACAATGACTAAATGAAGTAATATACAGTGGATTATAATGGATTTGCTTTCACAGAGGGAGGGAGGAAAGCATCAATCCAAATGCCACTCACGCTCTTTCTTTATCTTCTCTGACACCAGGAACTCGTCTCGTTCAATAGTAGGGGCATAGTTACTGCCAATGACTCGTACTGCGTACTGGAACTGGTGGGCAACTTCAGCTGAAAAAACAAAACAAAAAACAAATATCAAGACATGACTAACAGCTTGAAGGAATGTACAAATGACAGCGTGTTGACTGGGGGATTTTTTCCCCTGTTACATCATTACTTTACTTATTTTCCAAAAGCACAAACAGGATATAACAAAATGAACTTGCAGACCAGGAGAGTGCAGATTTGCCATTACTTTAATAAGGATAATGTATGATGGGACAGTGTTACTAACACTTTAGATACATATTTTAAAAGCTAATTCTCATTGCAGTTGCTAACTACAAAGGTTTTGGGCCTTTGATCAAAAGTGACTTAAAAAAACAAAAAAAAAAAAAAACACTGCTTCTGCCTCTATCTACAACAGGGGCCTGCAGCTAGCCAGGCAACTGCATCCAATTTACCACACAGATTAGAAACAGAGCTAAGTGGCTAGCAATCTAAAAGATAACCGAGAAAGGCGAAGCACTTTATTTGAGCAAAAGTAACGGTGTAAGACAGCGACTCGTGGAAGTACCGTGAAGCTGTTCAGCTGGATGTGCAGCATCTGGCCAAGCCAATTGGCTGACAGATACGCGAACCGAGTCCCCGCTACGTCCCGTTTTTCCTCACAGCTAAAGCGATAGCCACGTAAAAAGAAATCAATATATTTTCTTAATAATTTAAATGTGACATTGTAGTGACATGTTTACTCCCGAAGGCCTTAAGAAATTAATAAAATCCTATCTTCAATTCGGCAATTGTCCGAAAGACTGAGCAGCAGTTATTTAAGTAAAACTTCAACCGTTTTCTACAATATTCAGTCTGCAAAACAAACCTGGTGAGTCGGCGCCCGCTGCTTAAAACGTTTGATAAACAGAAAAATCAGAGCGGTCTAATGTGAAATATTAATGCCGAATTTGCCACTGGAAGTTAATCACTCACATACTGCTTCGTGTGAAGCATGTATGATTAATAACAGGACGCGAAACAACAAAAAATAGATTTTTTGAATGAGGTTAGGTTTGGCAGTTCCTGACTACTACAGTAGTGCAGTAGCGCGAAGCTTGCTAGCAGTAACGGATGTACCTTCGCTTTTCCCCGTGATTCTGCAGCAGAGGCTTTGGAGAAGGACGTTTGGCGATTTCTGATCCAGGGTTGCCATGCTCTCCGTGGCAAATGGGCAGTGTGTTCCCCCAATAAATGAATAAATGTGAATGAATAATATGAACTAACTCAAATCCCCCACTACGAGCAACGCCATTTTGACAACTTCAGGCAAGCTAGGAAGAATTTGACAACGACCAGCGCCATTTGCCTTCAAAATAAAAGCATACATGTTCTTACCTATTTCTTTTAAAAACTTGCACAACACTAACGAAGGCTCAATAAATAATGTACACATTAAAACTAGAAGCACTGTTCCGCAAAAAAATAACAAGACGATAATACATACGACGCCAAGAAAGACGAGGAAGACAAGATAACCAGATAAATCAATATGTAAGGGGAACTTGTAATGTAAAAAAGAACCTTTTGACTGGTAAGACCAAAGGTGCAACATGTATGCCGGATGTTTAATTATCTACCAGTCCCATTAATAAATAAATAATGAACGGCAAAAATACCAAAACAACTAAAAGCCTATTTATGACATATCATTAATAAAGTTGTTACAGTTTAAACCAAAATCCATCACGTAGGTTTTATTTTGAAGGTTCAATCAAGAAACCGTGGTTATTATTTCTATTTTTACGGCGGACTTTCAACAGAACCCGCCGAAAAGCGTCTCCAGGAAACAGGGCGCGGACAAGTGGATGAAAATATTTCCCTCCTGAAACGTGGTGCCATGAATTATTTTGTTCTGACCCCGCTGACCTGCCTGTTACAAACCGATGCGTCACGACAGCAGTAATAACTTGTAATAATGAGTCTAAAATATTATGAAAATCTCTTCTCATTTTAAACCGAGCTTGAAAAAGTGGATGAGATTTGAGATGGAAAAGGAATATAAATTTTACCTTTCAAATTCCTTATTTGTTGTATCACAAAACTTTAGTTAACCTAAGTAATAAACAAACAAATGAATAAATAAATAAATGCGATTGTGTGTAAGTTATGTGTATTTCTGACATTTTCTGTAATGATTTCAGCACCATATCTATGGATAGCACCAGTCTGTTTTATTTTATTTTATTATTTTTTTAAGTTAAAAAAAATACTAAATATCCCACAGTTAACTGAAACACCCAATCAATAATTACTCTTCACAAACACTAGAGCGCGCATGCGTTCACCCCCGGTGCCAGAGCCACCACCTGGCTCCACGTGACGTAGATGAAAGAAAATCTCTTTTGGCCGCGGCGCGAGACAAGAAGATTATTAGTACACGCGCAGAGGGGGGAGAGAGAGAGAAAGAGGGAGCGCGAGAGAGCTGGATATTAGTTTGGCTTCTAGTCTTTTAGGAGGAGCAGCTCGCTGCCCGTGTGAACTGTCTTCAAACTGTAGAAGACGCACAGACAGACACTCCCCCGTTTAAAGCCCGTTGCGGGGTCCGTAGGTGAGTTTGGAAGCGAGTCCTTTTTTTCCAATTCAGGAAGAAGAAGACGGGGGAGAAGAGAAAGTCATGGACAGAGGAGTAGAATTAAAAAGAAGCTAGCGCCCGCAGTAAAAATAACCTTTGGAGGAGAAAAAGACAGAGAGCAGAAGAAGTGTCCGGAGAGGGAAGAGGAACAGGATGGGGATGGATTTCAGCACTCTGCGTACTCTTATCAGCCGATATGTAAGTTTGTTTTTCCTTTTTTCTTTTTTTAAAAATTAAATACCCTTATTTTCACATTAACACATGCGACTAGTTGCCTACAAACCAAAGATATTTCCATTTTAAATCAAACCTGTGACCTTTTTTGTTATCACCGTTGGTTTAAAATTCCGACGAAGCGGCTCTCAGAGGATTAGGTTTCAATAAAGGGAGTGGAAAGCAACTCACTGAAGAGTGGTTGGGAAACTTCCCGACACTTAAAAATCGTGTGACTAATTAACCTTTATCAACTTATATATTTTTTAACTTTTTCCCCACGTCCCTTTATTTCAACTTCAACAATGACATTTCGGCAGTTTTAAGTTACTTTTTTAAAGTTCATTGCTCCACAAATGACACTAGATCCCCACTACTCTGATCTTGAAAGCACATGTAAAATGCATCTTTCACTGATATTCTTTAAATATATATCAGCTATTTATGTTGAAGCATGTGTTAAATAATAAGCTCCTCACATATCTGTTAGTGCTGAAAAACATTGTGTATATATATATATATATATATATATACATATATATATATGTCGAAATGTGAGAGAGATATTATTTGGTATGTACAAAATTGTTCCAAGTACTTTTGCAGATACTGTTCAGACATCTTTAAACAACAAACGCGGTGTGATTTGAATGAGTGAAAGGTTGAGTCACCTCACAGTATTGGTAAGTGGTGGGTGGGTGACTACCTATCTGCTCATGGCAGAACATGCCAAAAAATGCAGACAGGCAGCTATTATCATTCATGTCATGGTTGCCACTCAGTCTCATTGCTACCTCCCAGTAGAACAAAATGGAACATGAATTATGTAATCCACTTGTTTTCTCCCTGCTAGTCAAATCGATGGGCAGCATCTATATGGGTTACATTAGGCTCGGCAGTAATGTGCTTGACAATAATCCAGACAGTGCGAGCCCTGCTCACATGAGAGCCAGTGAGGTTTATACCCCAGCTCCGTACTCAGCTGAAGCTTAGGCACTGCTTCCCAACTGTTGCAACTAGCTGATTAAATACAATTCCCTGCTGTGTGGAGGGTGAAATGGAGCCATGTAGCTAGAAGCATGAAGAGAGAAGCCGGTGACTGGTGTAGGATGTGGGATGCTGATGAGGTCTGCTGCTGTAATTGGTCTGGATAAATGCTTTAGGTAAATGGGTTAGGGCTAAATTGATTGCATTGCTGCTGTGGTGGAAAGAGGCTGCTGAATACTTAAGATCAGGGTCAGGAACATCCATCTGTTTGTCAGATGAAGGATTCTCCCTGTGACCAAGTCTGTAAAGTGAAGCTAAATGTAAATTCAGGCTTTATACTATTTCTGCTATGATGTAAAGAGCCTGTGGTACGAACAGGCTGCTAAAAACATACTAATAATAAATGTTTGTAGAGTATTTAAATATGACAATTGGTTTAATTTTCAGGTGTTTATAATGACATGTAAACACAGTAATAATATGCCTAGTATCTTAGTCATGTTCTCATCTTCTGAGTTTTCTAAGTATTTCATGTATAGACTTGTTTGTGGCTGTAATTCAGAAACCAGTCTCCTTTGAGTCTCTGGGCTTTGGGCACGTTGAGATTTGTTTCACAAATAGACGTAACAACTGTGACAGATTTTACAGCCTGATAAAGGATCCCTGTGATTTCACAACAGCTCAACAATAAACTGAACTGAACTATGAGAGAATTTTCATCATTAAATGTTAGTGCGTGTTTCTATTAACATGCCGACACGTGCAGTAAACATTTAAAAAGCAGCCAAAGATCAGAATTGAGGTTGTGTGAATTTGTTAATTATGATGCTTCACACAGAAACATTAAAAGGCCCGCTGTGCATGTACTGAAATTTTCATTATTCACTCTATAAATACATCAATGTTTTCGTGCAAACAGAGTGCAACTGACAGTATTGGGTTACGTAGAGTATATCTTTGTTCTAAAAAAAGTAAATATTGTGTCAAGGCTCATTGTTTCTTTAAATGAGGTGGTGTGAGGAATGTTTAGAGTGGACGCATGATGAAAAATATATCTGTACTGTGGATAATCTACCGCCTTGTGTTTAAAAAGCTGTGCCATCCGTCTTGTGCGATGTCAGTAGAAGCCACAGTAAATTTTATTATTGCGATTGTGCCAAAACTTTCTCTGTTATGCTACAGGCTTGCAGAGGGAAAGTACAAATGAAATAAACAGGTTTAACTGGGGTTGCTTTGTACCTGTTTGTTACCTTTTGCTCTGCAACAGGGTGTGGATCGTGGTGGTGAAAGTCAGTCTCGTCAGTCGCTGCCGCCTCAAATTAGGTAAAAGCTAAATGATGTCATATAAGCCTACAGTATAGCTCTCTTTAAAAGTGTAACATGCAGAGTTGTTCATGTAGTGGCTGCCTGTCCTGTCTAGACCAGTTTAAAATCAAATGTGATGCTGGTAGCACCAAGAGCTCTGAGATACAGTGTAGTTATTCCAAAACAGGTGGCTCACCCTGTTTTGTTCTTTTCCTGAGTTAATTTTAGTCACTGAAATTCTTAGAAGTACTGTTTTATATATTTTCTAACCTGTCTTCAGTGCTCCTCCTCAAGTCTTTTTTTTAGGAGATATCAGGAGAAGCACTGTTTAATTGGATTATATAACAGAATTATAAAAGAGTTAGGAAAAAGCACAACGCTACGGTCAGCTTTCTGTCTCAGGAGTGGCACAAAATACAAAGTTAAGTTTTCTCCAGAATTAAATACTTAGATCCAGTGACTTTGTGTCTATCAACGCAAATCACCCATAATGCTGTATATTGGGTGTAACGTCCCAACAGCAGACACAGCTGCTGGTGCAAAGGGACAGAGACAGATATCAGCAGAGCAGCTGAACGTAAATGGTGTTAAGTTGTAATATTTGCCCTTTTTCTCCCCTTATAAATTTCTTGTGTTATAAAGAGTCAATGACAAGATAACGGTTGCAACAGTAGGTTAATAACACACATTAGTAATACACTGGAGCATATGCTGAAAATGTAATGGACAGGAGTTGCACAGCATCTCTTTACTTTCACTATCTGAAAATGATACCAAGCCAGCTGAAACTAGCTAATAACTGAACTTTAATGGTGGCAGAGAGTTCTCAGCTCCAACTGATTCATCCCACACAGCACGTTTGTATTGGTTTGACCTCTTGTGGACACAATACAAATATTATAATCATTTAACACTGTGCAGGTGATTTTCTTTCTTTTTCTTAAGGAACAATGAAATGTTATTTTGACAGCCTATGTTTGTTTGCTTAGCAAACAGAGTTCAGTGCATCTTAGCAGAACTGGACTGTTACTGTTACTGTTACAATGAAAAACAGCAGAGTTGCAAATACCAGGACACTGAAATGTAGAACTGGAGCAGAAATGAGATCTCACTAGTTTCCTGACAGTTGCCCACTAGCCACTTTATTGGTTCTTCTGAAGGATAAATACCTTGCTATATTTTAAAATAATATTAGTAGGCATTCAAAGCATTAACCATCCTTTTGAAGGTATTTTCCTAAATAATCAAACCATATAAGACTAGAAAAAAGACAAACTAAGATTATTTTGGCTTACAGGCTGAGTAAAGTCAGACGTCATATCGGGTTGACATCTTTGGAACTCGCAGTTTGGGAAAAGGGTTAAAAATCTTTAAAATGTGCTTTTCAGTGCTTTTAACAAAACCCATGCTTAGCCAAGTGATTTTTAGTGTAAAAGCATTGGGCTTGTGCAAAACCATACACTCACACATGGACCAATCCCATATGGAAAAGAAATAGTAAAAACTTATATGATTTACTCATGAAAGTGGCCACTTTCAAGTGAGTTTTCACACTTGTATGCTTTTCATACAAGTTTCACACAAGACAGATACAAACTTTATAAGATTTATATATATCTTTTCCATATGGGATGGACCAAAATCAATATACAGCATTTGTATTATTTAGGACTACAATTATCATTTGGTCAGTTATTTTTTTGATTAAATAAGTAAGCTACTTTCAGCTGCCCTCTTGCCACAGGGGGTAACTCTGTGGGATTTGGTTTTACACTGGATGTCCTTACTGACACAACCTCAAAGGAGAGATCGGTGACTCCGGCTGGAATCTACGGTAACCAGCGATCTTTTTCCTTTCCAAGCAAATTATATCACCAGTTTTTATCATAATGTTAGAAAGTGGTTGTAAATCTTATTCAGAATAAATTTCATATTGCTACATTACACTACTACTAATACTACTTTGTAGACTGTAACTGTGAAAATCAAACAATATTGGACGAATCCAAAATGAAACAAACCGGAGATATCATGTTCGTGTATTAGGCGTGTTCAAGAAGCCACCCAGCATTCCTCTCCAGCTACCTAATGTGGCTCTCTGAAAGTCCCGCTGGTCTCTTTTTGGCTTCCTGCCTTCACATACTAGATTAAAGGGTTACTGCTGTTCACTATACCTTCACCCACTTAATCCAGTTTGCAGCTATACTTTCAGATCTAAGCTTATCACTAAACACCTTACTACTTATATTCAGCCTAGTTTTATTTTCTAATTAGCTCACTGATCAGCAGGCTGTATGTGAAGTATGCTAACTGATCCATGCATATGAGGCCATAATAAATGTTCACGTCAGTAGTGGCTGATGATCATGTTGCTGTCTCTATAGTGTCATTCATGCACATTAGTAAGAAGCAGGTAGATGGGATAGTTGTAGCCAGTTGACGCAGAGGGCATCAGATCATATGAACTCCTTGGCTCCAAATGCTTGTCAATAATTCATTAGTAGACTGGCTGACAATGAAGACTGATGTTTGTGTAACTTGTTTAGGAGTCTGCTCACTGTGGGGGCTCAGGGATGCCCCAGGTGGCTTGATGGGATTCCAGAGGGTCCCCATCTAACCACTGTGTTTTAATCACTGCAGGATATAATTTTACAACCGAGGTTTGGTGGAAACTGCAAAAAAGTCCTATGCTG